CTAGTACAATCAGATATTATAAACACATCGAGATCAATTATCCTTCCTCAAATTTTCTGGACAGCTGTAGGAGGAAACTATTGTATGACAATTGAAGTCAAATTCAAATACAATCCACAGAAGATATTTGCAATATTGAACAGAATAAAAGTTAAAGTTAAACCTTAACATTAACATTAACATGCTTGACGTAAACAAAAAAATCATTCCAATTTGTACCAGTCTATCCTACTAGAATTAAGATGGTCAAGAATAGATCCCTCCATACAAGGAAGGAAGGGAGGGAAACCTCCTTAAAATGTTTGACACCAAATTCAAAAACTGCAGGTTAAAGAGGATTTAAATGGAAGCAGACTAAAACTCAAATTGCCATCTCTCAAAATACAGCTCTAAGCCATTTGAGTTACAATAAATTAGTTTATGTAATGCTTACTTTACTATATGCAATTGTATCCAATAGATTCCCATCGATGCTCTTCATCTCACATGAAGATGAGATATCAAAGCAAAATTACCTCTTTTTTTAAACCATTTAAAATCAAAAAACATTCAAGTTGGTTAGAACTATAAATTCTGATTAATAAATTTAAGTCATGTTTATCTCACCTACCTTCAATGTTTCCAGAAGCAACAATAGTTAGTCCCAAACCCAGCTCCCAATTTTACAAGATCAGCTGTGGTGCATCCCACTGGAATAAATGGAGTCATAAATGAGGTCAACAGATTGAACACTATAACTTAGCCAGCAGTTTGAATAAAAACAGCTGTACTCATTTTCTTTAGATCCACTTATGGATCTATAGATCAATTAACAATACTTAATACTTAAAATTATTTAATTGTTGCCACTGATCAAGTGTCAAGCAACTACTTCCCTTGGTGTTCTCTAAAGTTGTCCATACACTGCAAAAGGTACTGAATACACTTAACAGTCGACATTAGGCCACTCAGGTGATCTAATTTTTTTTGTATGATACAAAATCGTGTAGGTGATGCACAGATTCAACATCAGCTTTAATCTGCACTCAACTATCCTTTAACCAACTCATCACATGTAACACTTGCAAATTGTAGTAAGACAACAATTCAGGCACATTCAGTTCAGCGCAAACTACCACGTATACTACAGCTCAGTTGACAGAACTTTCAGTTACAAACCATCACACTGCCATGCCTGTAGAAATGCAGAACAAATACTTCAAAATTTGAGACTCTGCTCCAATAAAATGCAACTGCATATTAGCATACTTAATACTGGTATGCTTCATGGCAATGCTTTTCAATTTTGCACATTTAGCACTTGATTCTATATTTGTACTGAATTCTTTTAGTGAGATTACAAAGAAAGACTCAATCTTATTATTAAGATATCTAAAAGATCCATCAGCACCACAAGTTGAGTGAGAAACAGATTAATAATGATTCCCTGTACATGAAATGCTTTGTAATATTCCAAGGAACCCAACATAAATGAGTTCTAACATTTACCAAGGAACTAAGTACTTCAGCTGACATTAACTAACTATCTGAAGAGAAAACTACCTCTGAAAGATGTCAATATGATATTAACATTATGGAGTCACACAAGGCAACGAATAACCCAAAAAAAAAAGCACTAAGCAACAACTACCCTCTGGTTATCACAGTACCAAACCTGTGAAGGAAACGCTTGCAGCATAGACTTTACTTGCCACCTAGCAGAGAATACAGACAAGAAACAAATTAAATCTGAAAGAAATCATTGACTAATATGCCCGAATCACAGAAAAAGAATTTACAAAGCAGGTCAACTACTGCTTTGTCCCACATTGCTCATTATCACAACACTGACTACATGCAGCATGACATAAATTGTCAAACAACAAATTTATTGATTGGTAGTTAAATTTGAATCCAAAATCAGTTTCCTCACTGAATTTTTTGTACAACAATGCATGCTTTTGTATTACAAACTTAGCATCATGAGAAGAAAAGAGGGAACTTTTACAATTGATTTCAGACTCAAAACTCCACCCACACTCAAGGTGAATTATCAGTAATAGTGGGATTAGCAAAATTCCACACCCATTGACATGTCTATTCCGAACTCTTGTTACATTAGGATTAGGGCTAAGAGCCAACAGTAAATTAGCTTTGTTTAACACAATGTTGCCGGTATGCAGTTGGCACAGCAGAACTCTTCAAGATGCAAACAATACATATTAACAAAAAAAACAGACCAACTGGAGGCATTTTCTGTAATCTTTCACAACATTTTGAAAACTTATGCTACTAAATTTCAGCCAAACAACCGCTTTGTCAGCACAATGGAAAAATAATCCAATATCAAGTACTTGAGGTAGTTCTGCATCCATTATAACACTAACACTTATAGTTACTAAAAACAATCTTAATATAGGGTACTGGATTCCCATTATGTTTTTTCTGAAAGTGATTAGCATATTCAGTATTATGATTTAAATTCAAAAAATTACAAATTACTATGGGTCAACTACACAAATCACTGCACTGAGCAATGTATAATAGGCCCAGGCCACAATTTATTAGGAACACTGAATGGTCACAAATGTGCCACAATTGACTACTTTCCAGTGGCAGCAGAGAAATTTTTTTTTTGAAAACAACAGTAGATTGAGAGAACCTATGATTAGGTTATGGAACAGATGTGAAAATGAATATCAAAAACAATAAATTCGATAGAAGCATGCCTTTCAAGGTTAGTGGGCTAGATTCCATCACCTCAGATCTCAATCAAGACCGAACCAGAGTCATGAACAGAAGTATAACTTTCTATTGGTTATGAGGATCCAAAGAGAAAATGACTTCAAGTCTCAACGTAGCTCACAGTGGAAATAGGCCTGTAGCAGAGAACTACCCAATTTTATCTAGATTAGAAATCTCAGATGCCACAAGGCTGTTGGTCAGATTAATAAACATATGGCAAACTGGTGCAAAAAAATGTTCTGACATCTGGGCTAATACCTGTTGGGCAGAGATTAGCAAGCTTTAAAACTGACAGTACTACACCTGAATGTAGGTATTAAGATTAGAGAAGCTGGGGTTGGTCTCCCAAAAGGGAACAGTCTGACAGGCTAGGGGCTGAACTAGACATGTTCAAAAAGGGGAAATTGTTCCCATTAATGGAGTGCTCCAGAACTACATGACACAGGGCAAGAGCAAAGAAGCTAAAGGCAAAGGATTATTTTCCCTTTTTGTAAACACCAAACGTTTAGGATGAAAAAATATGGAGCTGGAAAGCATAGCATGACAGACAGCATCCTCGAAGCAGGAAAGTCAGTGTTTCAGGTCGGAAAGGGCTGGTTACAACCTGGGATGCACTGCCGCATAGTAATGTGAAGGCAGATTGAACTATGATTCTAAAAAGAACTAGACAATTATCCGAACAGAAAACATTTGCATGGCTACATGGAAAAGCTAAAGGGGCACAAAGAGAGTGGGATGAGGAGATTTGTCCTTGTAGCAAGTCAGCACTGAAACGTTAAGACAACTAGCTACCTTCAGTTGTAATCAAGTTACAATTCTGCACTGACTCCTTGACTAAATCAGCTTTTTTCCAAAAGCTTTGGTCAATGTATTCATTCCTTACCTAAAGCAAATCTCTTTCCCCAACTACAATTATCCACATAAAAATAGCCTGTTCCATCTATCCTAAAGTTACTACTTTCTATTGTGTGAAAAACTATGGCAGATACATAATACTTGCCACATTCAATTGCCTTTTTCAAAGTCATACATGTTCTCATTTAAGTTGGACACATTAATGCATTAATTTAAATGAAGCCTGTCAGATCCAAGTTTCCTGCAGTGTGAACTGGTGCATTCAACCTATTGTTCACTACACAATTTAACTCAACACCCTTAAAAAAGAAACCTTTGATTCAGTGCTGCACACAAGTAGTATTACTAGACATGCTTGTGTTCAGTATCACTTGTGCTTATAACTGAATAAACTGTTATCCAAATGAACGTCAGAATTATGCTAGTTAGACACTGCGAGTGAACATCATGAGGATTTGCCGTACGAGTAAGAAACCCTTACAAGACAAAATACTAAACAAATATTTTACTTCTGCTAGGTTAAATGGTTGCATTATTCGGCAGGCATTCCTGTTAACACCGACAGTTCAATAAAATTGAATTCAAATTGCAGGCGGACTCCAAATTCACGCGATGTAGCCTGCTTTTTTTTGCAAGAATTCCTTTCCCCACCCAAACTGGCATCAGTCCGCCACAAATGTCAGCTGGATGATGCGGTCAGGCACTTGCCCAAAAAAAAAAACCCACCCGAATTGTTACTTTTAACTGGGGGGGGGGGGGGGGGGGCGGTGGAAAACAGGAGACATTTATCAGGCCTCTCGTCTTTTCCTTTTCACAGGCAGCGGTAGAAAGGCAAGGCCCACGGTAACCGGCGGCGAAGAGGTTTAAAAACAGGAATCGATACACATACACAGAGGCTGAAAGGAGGAGAGCTATCAGGCCAAGCGGGATCTGCTGGCAGGAAAGGGGAGCGGCTTCTTCCCCTCACTGCAGTGTGAGGCTGAACAGGCCCCAGGCCGGCCTTCCGGGATCAGGCAGCGCTTTCCAGCACATCCACAACACAAAAGGCCACTAAAGAGGAGGAGGAGGAGGAGGAAGAGGAGTAGCCCTCCCTGCCTTCCTCCTCCAGCTCCACACCAAACACTCGCCTCCTCCCGACCACCTCAAACCCCCACCACCCACCGCCCCTTTCACCTTGCCTTCCCGACCTTACCGACTTCTGCAGACCTCCGCAAGTAATTCTTGGCCGATCTTCGTTTCGGTTCCCCGCGCAAAAAAAAAAACAAAAAAAAATCACTTGTGAAAAGTCTTCCCCCTCCGCAACTTCCAAGATGGCGCCTCCTTCCGACGGGGTTTCCTGCGGCACGTCACAGGGGCAGGGGCAGGTCAAAGGTCAGCGCCTTTAGGTTCCGTCATTCATCATCTTCCGCACAGAGGCTGGGGTTATTTATGCATTGCGGCTTGGAAGCTGGCATTATTAGTGCAGCTTATTGCAATGTTCATATTTCACAATTTTATTTCCTGTTGCCGTTTAGAATTGTTGGAATTATGCTCTCGAACTATTGACCATTTAATGTTCCCTTTTCTTTGTAACAAAAACAAAGTCACGACATCGTGTTCCCTACCTGCAATTCTTTGATTGCAGCTGAGATCTATCTGCTTTAGCAAGTCCAAAGTGATCACATTAATATTCAGCATTAACTTGGGTTTCACATTGATTGGCAAGCATCCATCTGATGTTGATGGGAAAACTAAACACAAGGGGGAAAGGAACATGAGGTATCGTAAGATCATAAAGTTTATTTCAGTAATGGTGCCATGAAGTTACCATCAATTGCAAAAAAAATCTGGATTACTCGTGCACTGGGGGACGAAATCTGCTGTTCTTCCCCCATCTGGCCTATATGTGACTCCAATACAAAAATCTTCAGTAAATATGACTTTTTTTCAGCAGTACTCAAGTTCTGTACCTCAAATATTTGAATAATTTTGCAATGCTAGAACATTCTGTTGTTTATAAGCCGTTCCTGTTTTATTATTTTACACTTCCCTATGTTGTCAGTTTAGTTTGTTGTAAATTGCTAACTTTGATTGGTTATACTTCTGGACGGGCTGTGACTTGACCTTCTGCTACTAACTGTCATGCCTTTCCTAGTGCCCAACATGTCCACACTGCCTTCCCACACCAATCAGAAAGCAACATTAAGTATTATGTTTAACTTAAAGACTCATTATTACCTGATTTGATTATTCTTTCCCATGTCAAGATTATTTTAAACTGGTAATGATTACTCTCCTGGGTGGTTCACAGCAACATGCTCTTACACTACATAGACTCTTGTAGACTCCAAGGCAATCCCAAATTGCTGGATACTAATGCCTAATGATGCAGAGCTGATTTTGTCAGTACTAACTTTAAAAATAAACAAAATGCAGCCCTACAAAGATGTAAAATGTTGGAAATATTTAACAAGTCTTGTAGCATTCATGGAGACAGAAACAAAGTTAACAATTCAGGTTGTTAATCTTTTTATCAATTACAGAAGGTTTACTTGTTGTTTTCTCTCCACAGATGCTGTCTGTCTGCATTTTGTATTTTTCGAAGATTTCTGCCATCCACAGTATTTTTCTTTTCCATTATAAAAAGAGTTCTATGTAAGCTAAGTAAAATTTGACAATTATAAACATAAAATCTTTTACACAAGCCAAGCATTACCAATGTTAGTTGTTTATAGCATGGTCTAGCCAGAGATGCAATTTGCAAATAAGATGCAACTTATTTGTGTCACACTTCTCAGTGTAATTTGAATTGTTCATGAGCAGAAGCTGAGAATTTATCTTACATCCGTGCATTTTTTGAAAGATTAACCTTTTTAATAATGTTCATTTGCTACAAATCTGCATTGTGTACAGTAAACTGTTGAAGTCTCAAGTGACCACATAACGTGGATGTCAATACTTTTGCATCCTCAGTAATTCATCAAATATGATAACACCAGTACCAATCACAATGGCAAAAATCCTTGTGTTATGAGATCACATTTTCTGTTACTGTCTCCAAGTAGAGCAGTGATGTTCCATCATGTTCATCCACAGTTGCACTTTCTCAGTTTAATCTTCCTGATCATCGCTGTCATCAGATACATCACTTAATATGAATTCACATTATTAGGGCCAATAAAAGTAAGTCACTCTAATCCAATTACCTTGCTCTTTCTCTTCCTGTACCAATGCTTCCAACTTTGAAATGATTTGCAAATACAAGTACTTGATCATTCCTATAGAATGATAAGTGAGTTATATTTGACCTTTCACTATTTGCTATTGTATATTAACTGTGATTAAATGTAGTCAGAAGTCACACAACATCAGGTTATAGTCCAACAGGTTTGTTTGAAATCACAAGCTTTCAGAGCACTGCTCCTTCGTCAGGTCACACTTCACGTGATTTCTGACTTTGCCCACCCCAGTCCAACACTGGCACCTCCATATTGTGATTAAATGTAAGCATTAACTGGGGATTGTTGTAAAGTCCATGCCTGTGAGAAAATGTAACTGAAAAACAGGTGCTTATTAAAAAATGTGTAAAAATTGGTTCTGGAATCAGTATTACAGTCAATAAATGTGGAGCTGGAAAATCACAGCAGGTCAAAGGAGCAAAAAAGTTAACGTTTTGGGCTGAAACCCTTTGTCAAGACTGGGGAGGGGAACCCAGAAATAAATAGAGGAATGGGGATGGGGCTGGGGGGAGAGTAGGTGGAATGGAGATAGGCGGATGCAGGTAGAGGGTTATTGTGGTTGGTCAATTGGAAGGGTGGAGTGGATAAATGTTATTAAGGATGCCCTCAACCGCATCCCCCCCATTTCCTGTGGTTCTGCCCTCAAACCCTCTCCCCACAACAACAATAAGGATAGAGTCCTCTTAGTCCTCACATACCACCCCACCAACCTCCAAATACAACGCATCATCCTCTGACATTTCCGCCACCTACAATCTGACCCCACCACCAAAAAGATATTCCCCTCCCCACCCCTGTCCACTTTCCACAGGGACCGTTCACTCCATGACTCCCTCGTCAGCTCCACACTCCCCACTAACTCCTCCACTACACCCGGTACCTTTCCCTGTAACCACAGGAGGTGCTACACCTGCCCCTACACCTCCCCTCTCACCTCCATCCAAGGCCCCAAACAATCCTTCCAAATCCAGCAGAGATTCATCTGCACTTCATCTAATCTCATCTACTGTATCTGTTGCTCCCAATGTGATCTCTTCTATATCGGGGAGACCAAATGCGGTCTCAGGGACCGGTTTGCGCAGCACCTGCGCTCTGCATGCACCAACCAACTTGACCTTCCGGTTGCCATCCACTTTATCTACCCCTCCCACTCCCCTGGAGGCATGTCCATCCTTAGCTTCCTCCACTGTCAGAGTGAGGCCAAACGTAAACTGAAGGAACGACACCTGATATTTCGCCTCGGGAGCTTACAGCTTCACCAGCTTCGAAATCTCTCTCCTCCCAACCTGTCTATCTAACCCCAACCTGTCTATCTTCCTACTCACCTATCCGCTCCACCCTTCCCACTGACCAACCGCATTAACCACCTACCTGCATCCACCTATCTCCATCCCACCTACCCTACCCTCAGCCACCCCTCTATTTATTTCTGGGTTTACCTCCCCCTCCTGAGTCCTGACAAAGGGTTTTGGCCTGAAACGTTGACTTCCCTGCTCCTCAGATGCGGTATGGCCTTGCTGTGCTTTTGCAGATCTGCATTTATTGACTCTAGCTTCCAGCATCTGCAGTTCTTACTGTTTCCAAGTAACGGTATTACAGTTGAGTAAAGATATCTACAAGGACCTGAGGGAGGAGCTGGCCAGAGTTGGTTGGAGGAGGACCCTAGAAGGAAAGATGGTGGAGCAACAATAGCAGGAGTTTCTGGGGTAATTCAGGAGGCACAGCAGAAATTCATCCCAAGGAAGAAGAAACATACTAAGGGGAGGACTAGACAACTGTGGCTGACAAAGATAGTCAAGGGCAGTATAAAAGCAAGAGAAAAAACATACAATGTGGCTCCCATCCCCATGAATAAATTGACAAAGAAAACCAAAAAAAAGATAAGTGTATGGGAAAAGGTCCTGGCATGGATAGAGGATTGACTGACTGGCAGAAGGCCTGTAGTGGGAATAAATGGGTCTTTTTCAGGATGGCTGATGCTGAATAGTGGAGTTTCGCAGGGGACGATGTTGTAAATACAATTATTCACATTATACATTAACGATCTGGATGAAGGAACCGAGGGCATTGTTGCTCAGTTTGCAGATAACACAAAGATAGGTGGAGGAACAGGTAGTGTTGAGAAAGTGGAGAGGCTGCAGAAGGACTTGACAGGCTGGGAGAGTGGACAAAGATGTAGCATATAGAGTACAATGTGGCAAAGTGAGATTATGCAATTTGGTAAGAAGAATTTTCTAAATGTGGAAATCAAAAATGACCAAAGCTCAACCACAAAGATGGATACTAATCAACAAAATCCAAAAAGAACATAAGACCGTAGGCCAAATTAGGCCATTTGACTCATTGAGTCTGCTCCACCATTTGACCATGGCTAATATGTTTCTCAACCCCATTCTCCTACCTTGTCCCTGTAATACTTGATCCACTTACTAATCAAGAACCTATCTATCTCTATTTCAAGTATGCTCAATGACTTGGCCTGTGCAGCCTTCTGTGGCTATGATTTCTGCAAATCCATCACCTTCTGAAGAAATTCCTCCTCAACTCAACACAGTTAACTCTTCACTCTGAGGCTGTGCCCTCAGTTCCTAGTCACTCTTACTAGTGGAAACATCTTCTCCATATCCACTCTATCTACACATCTTAGTGTTCTGTAAATTTCAATATTCATTAACAAAGACTGAAAATAATCAATTAGGACCAATATTCATCAGCAAAGACCAATACCCATTGACAAATTCAAATACTCAACAACAAAGACTGATGTTCATTGACAAAAACTGAAACTCTTCAAGAAATCCCAATAATAATCAACAAAGACCAGAACCCACCAACAAAACTGAATATGTATCTGTCTGTAAAAGCAACAGCAATAAATCCATAAGAATTATCAGGTGACGTATCCAAGAAATGAAACATGGCAAAGTGACCCGACACATTCTTCACAACACCTGGGACTGATAACACTTCAGCACATAGTGACACTTGGTGTTTGTGAACAAAGGATACAGCTTCATGAAACTGCAAATACAGATAGCCATCAGGATGAGGGTAACATTGATTATGTTTTCCATCCACCTCCACCACTTGTTTGGAGACTTGTACGTGGTATGCCTGTGGATTTGAACCATTTTCAACTTCCAGCCAAAGGGGAAGATGGCTCAGGTGATCACCGTGGTGCAGGATCAGGATATGGGCCTACTTAGAGTGATAGAGACGTATAGCATGAAAACAGACCCTTTGGTTCAACTCATCCATGTTGACCAGATATTGTAAATTAATCTAGTCCCATTTACCAGCATTTCGCCCATATGCCTCTAAACCCTTCCTAGTCATTTACCCATCCAGATGCCTTTTAAATGTTGTAATTGTACCACCCTTCAGCACTTCCTCTGGCAGCTCATTCCATAAATGCACCATCCTCTGCATGAAAAAGTTGCCCCTTAGGTCCCTTTTAACTCTTTCTCCTCTCACTTTAAACCTATGCCCTCTGGTTTGGGATTCCCCAACCCTGGGAAAAAGACCTTGTGTATTTACCATATCCATGCCCCTCATGATCTTATACACGTCTACAAGGTCACCTCTCAGCCTCTGATGCTCCAGGGAAAATAGCCCCAGCCTATTCAGCCTCTCCCTACAGCTTAAACCCTCCAACTCTGGCAACATCCTTCTAGATCTTTTCTGAGCCTTTTCCAGTTTCACAATATCATTCCTATAACAGGGAGACCAGAATGGTACACAGTATTCCAAAAGTGGCCTAACCAATGTCCTGTACAGCTGCGACATGACCTTCCAACTCCTATACTCAATGCACTGACCAATGAAGGCAAGCATACCAAATGCCTTCTTCACTATGCTGTCTACCTGTGACTCGACTTTCAACCCACACTCCAAAGTCTCTTTCAATAAATGTGGAACTAGAAAAGCACAGCCAGTCAGACAGCATCCAAAGAGCAGGAAAGTCAACATTTTGGGCGGAAACCCCTCGTCAGGACTCCAAGGTCTCTTTGTTCAGCAACACTCCCCAGGACATTACCATTAAGTGTATAAGTCCTTCCCTGACTTGCCTTACCAAAATGCAGCACTTCACATTTATCTAAATTAAACTCCATCTGCCACTCCTTGGCCCATTGGCCCATCTGATCATCGTTGTCCTCTGAAGTACCCTTCTTCACTGTCCACTACACCTCCAATTTTGGTGTCATCTGCAAACTTACTAACCATACCTCCTATGTTCACATTCAAATCATTTATAGAAATTATACTTGTGCCTCGTATAGTAGTATTGAGATCACCTTGCACTTGATTACCAGGTTCCTAACTTGTAGTATTTCCATAATGGTGAGGGATCATCACACCCACAAGTCCTATTTTTGTTTCACCGTGGTTACCTGTTCCTTTCACTTTTTGATGAATGTCCTGAACCATATCCGCAGCCACATCAGGTAATCTGACCTGATGGTGAAGTGTACAAATGATCACCTTGGCCTGTTCCTAAAGAACATGATCTTGTTCTTCCCATGGTTGAGCTTTGACTCAATTCAATCAGGTCATGGATGCTTAGCAGTGTTCACACCAACAGTGAATCCGAGTAGGCAACTGTGACATCATCTATGCAGAGGGAGGCTTTGACTTGTGTGTCTCCCTAACTGAGATTGTCATGCCTCTTAGTCCTGCATTATTCCTGATAGCCTCAACAACAGTTTCAATGCCACCTATGAACAGGTAAGGGGAGAGAAGACAACCCTACCTGATTCCATATTTGATCAGAAAACTTAACAATTCATGCCCATTAATTGAAACTGTGTACTGATCTTTGTGGATTGGATCCAGTTGTTCATTCCATCCCTAAACTCAATTTTGGAGAGCACATCATTATGTGGGTTTGTGATATTCTGTCCAAGTCCTTTCTCTGGTGTAAGCTGATGGGTTAAGTGTCTGCCCTTTGTGGTTATACCTCTGAGGAGATTAATGCTCTCAGAGATGTTCTTGCCAGGTGCAATGCAGACTTGTTCCAATTAACTATGATCTTGGACAGAATTTGTAGTCAATGTTAAAGAGTGAAATATGTCGTCAATGTCTCATTTCCTCCCTCTTTGCACTATGTCTAGGTGCACTGCTGGAGTCTGCATCTAAGGCGGAGAAAGCCTGTTATGGAGCATGTTGACCTTGAAGGTTTGGGCAGATGACCATGGAGCGAGGGTAGGTGGGGAACGCGATGGTGCAGGGTGGCATTTGTGGCTAGAAAGCCCAGACACGCTGAGAACGTCCTGCCCAGATGCAGGTTTATCCTGCTCAGCTTCAACTTGTAAAGGGTTGTGGGTCACAGATAGGGTGGAGGTGGAGGTCCCACGTGCCCACCTTGGGTCATCGGAGGAAACTTCTGAGGGGGCTGATGTGTGATTCTTCCTCTGTCTGCAGGTCTGCTGGAATCACCCTGATTCTAGAGAGGAAGGAGCCGCTCATTCCCCACCCACCTTGTCTTCGATGCTGAGCACCAATGGCTAAAGTGAGATGGAGTGAAAGTCTGCGTGTGTCTCCAGCAGCCACTGAGCTTTTTGCTGAACCTGACTTTCTGTGGAGACAACCAGGCATATGCATACAGGAGCCAGCACAGCACAGATAGTGTTGATGGGTTCCTCCAACCTTTGATCCAGCTACCCGAGTGTCATTGACAAACCTGCCCACAGCTCCTCATTCCGTGTATGATCACACAATATATTCACGGCTGACACCATGGGGTCCTCTCCTCCTTACGAGGAGAAGGATCTGGGATCCAGCAGTCCGCTGAGTGGCAACAGCCTGGGTGTTTCTACCATGGACAACTACAGAGACGTTGTGCCAAAATGTCCACCAGAGTGTGTTCTCAAACCTAACCTTGCTAATGAACCCACTGAGGTGCCAATATCTGAGCTGCTGGAGGGTGCAGCGGAAAGCCTTCCTAGTGCATCCTCTGGAGGGCAGAAGGTGGCTCCTCCCTCAGAGGTGAAGTTACTGAATGCATTTAGGAAAGAAATAGATTTTTAGAACTAAAGGTGTCAGGGAGTGTGAGGAGACACTATAAAGCATTGAAAGAAAGGATCAGCCATGATCATGTTGAATGGGGCAGCAGGCTCAGTGGGCTGAATGGTCAACTCCTGAATCTATGTTCCAAGATTCTATGTTTCCTGTTTCGATGGTAGGTGAGGGTAATCTTACCTTTCCTTATGGATTCTGACATGTTGTCAGATTGAAGCTCACTGTCCCCAGCAGGTTCAGACTAATACAGTCTCACAGATTCGAGTCCAAGTGGATCTTTCTAGATTTTGTACAATATTGTATAATATATACTTTAGCCATTAGCCATCATTAAGCTAATTAGTAGTTTTTATTCTCATGGGATGTGGGTGCCACTGGCTGGGCCAGCATTTACTGCCCGTCCCTAGTTGCTGTTGAGATTGATTTTCATTAGACTGGCCTAAGTCAGTCTTTCTGAGCAAGTAATTGGAGTAGTTTCACATTTCCTATCTAATTAGAGAATTTGAAAAGTTGAATTTAGTTTAGTTTGTTTTTTGCTGGTAAGGCCAGCATTTTTACAATTATTTGCCCTTTCCAAACGAGATTAGATAGTTAAAACATATTCTTGACACTCAACTTTTGTACAAAATAAAATTCTGCAGTTTGTAAAACAAAGGGCGATACGAAATGTTCTCATCAGCTTCTTCTTTTAAAATGCTCAGCCTGTGTAAGATTCAGACATTTTTAGGAGTGTCTTTTTCAATGGTTTACAGGCAATAAGAGCCACAATGTTACATGTAAACAGGTTCAAACTCCCGATCAGACCCGTGTTGTGTATTTGGGCAGGGGAAGGGATAAAGTTGGTGGGGATGTGTGGAGGGAGATTAAGTTGTACAATTGGTAAATTTACTGAGATAACAAGGTGTGGAACTGGATGAACACAGCAGGCCAAGCAGCATCAGAGGAGCAGGAAAGTTGATGTTTCGGGCCTAGACCTCCCCCTCCCTAGACTGACCTATCCCCTCCCTAACTCCCCACCTACCCTCACCTTTACTGGCTCCATCCCCGCCTCTTTGACCTGTCTGTCTCCTCTCCACCTGTCTTCTCCTCTATCCATCTTCTATCCGCCTCCCCCTCTCTCCCTATTTATTTCAGAACCCCCTTCCCCTCCCCCATTTCTGAAGAAGGGTCTAGGCCCGAAACATCAGCTTTTCTGCTCCTCTGATGCTACTTGGCCTGCTGTGTTCATCCATCTCCACACCTTGTTATCACAAATTCTCCAGCATCTGCAGTTCCTACTATCTCTGGTAAATTTCCTTCCAGGAGTTCTGTTTGAGTACAACCAGAAATATTAGAAGATGCATGTCTCCTATTTCTGATGGTCTCAAAAAAAATCAGAGTATTTTTGAGATGTCTGAATCCAGTTTTTGGTGAGCGAAGAAGACTATTACAAAAGAAACCCACAAACTTGATGATACATTAGTAACCTTAGTCAGAGAAATTACACACATGGTGGGATTGGAGAAATATCACATCGGTACACCTGAGGATAAACATAACATCAACTGTACTATCATTTATCAACCTTGTCTGTGACTCCATTGAACAATTGAATCAAGTTGCTCGAACACCATTTACCTTTGTTCTGGATTTCATTTAATAACCTAAATTCATCCAAGTGCCAATTAATTTTGCCCTTGTTTACTATCTCTGAGCAAAGGGTCCAGAGAGGGAATTTTTTCACATAGAGGATGGCGAGTGTTTAGAGTGGGCTGCCAGAGGTGGAAGCGAGTTCAGTTCGTCATTTAAGAAACATTTAGACAGATCCATAGATGGGATAGGTGTGGAGGGATATGGACCAAATGCAGGCAAATGGGACTAGCTTAAATTATGAAAACTGGGCAGCATGGGCAAGTTGGGTTGAACAACCTGTTTACATACTGTAGACATCTATGACCCCTGATCAACATTAAGTTTACAATTATGCAAATTCAGAGCAGGAGTAGGCCACTCAGCCCCTCCACCATTCGAAAGATCATGGCTAACTCCACATTTCTGGTGAGCCCCAGTAACCTCTCACCATCTTGCTTACCAAGAATCTGTTTATCTCTGCCTCATGGAGATTCAAAGGCTCTGCTTCCACCACCTTTTGACGAAGACAATTTCAAAGACACACAACAATGTGAGAAAATAAAATTCTCCTCATCTCTGTCATAAACGGGCAATCCCTTAGACTCCTAGCTCTTGAATCTCCCACAAGAGGATACATCCCTTCCACAGCCACATTGTCAAGATCTATCAGGATCTTGTATGTTTCAAAGAAGACATCTCTTACTCTTCTAAATTCCAGTGAATACAAACTTGTCCTGTCCAACCATCCCACATTAGGCCACATGCCCATTCTAGGCATTAAGCCAGTAAACATCTTCTGAACTGTTACCAGTGCATTGATATTCTTCTTTAATTTAAGTAGCTGCGTATCCTTTCTAATCACCCAGCCTGCTGGTACTACTGTTAGACTCCACAATCACTGAAGACAGAGATATTAACGAGCCTTCTTCTCCAGTGAGTTGCTTAATTGCCCACCATCATTAACAACTGATTTTGTTTTCAAAAGGTCATTCATAGGAAGTGGGCATTGCTGGCTGGACCAGTATTTGTTGCCCACCCCTAGATGACCTTGAGAAGGCAATTGTGAGCTGCTTTTTCGAACTGTGGCTGTCCATTTTCTGTAGGTAGACCCACAATGCCAGTAGGGAGTTCTAGGATTTTGACCTAGCGACAGTGAAGGAATGGCGATATATTCAGGATGGCAAGAGACTTGAGGGGAACTTGAGGGTGGTGTTCCCACATACCGCTGCCCTTGTCCTTCGAGATGGTAGTGGTCCTGAGTTTGGAAGGAGCCGTCTGAGGAGCCTTGGTAAATTCTCCAGCGCATATTGTAGATGGTGCACACTGTTGCTACTGTACATCAGTGTTGAAAAAGTGAATGTTTGTGGATGCGGTGTCAATCAAGCAGGCTGCTTTGCGTTTGCTGGTGTCAAGATTGTTGACTATTGCTGGCACTGTAGTCATCTTGATAAGTAAGGAGTATTCCATCACATTCCTGACTTGTGCCCTGTAGATGGTGGACAGGCTTTGAGGGCGTCTGGGGGATTGGTTACTCAATGCAGGATTCCTAGCCTCTGATCTGCACTTAGCGTCAGTATTTTTAAGGCTGATTCAGTTTTGTGGATTGCCACCTTGCTGCGCTAGAGAGGCTTGAGTGTTCCATTGATCCTGATAGCAGTCCATCAGGAGTTCTCAACATGACAGTAAGATCGGGGTGGGGGGGTGCAGACAAAACACAATCCAAAATAAGTCTTCAACAGTGATCCACGTGGAAGATATCATGGAATCCCCACAGTGCAGAAGCGGACCAATCAGCCCTCCAAATCCACACCGACCCTCCAAAAAGCATCCCACCTAGACCCACGCCCCCTGCTCAATTCCCAAAACCCCACATTTGCCATGGCTGACCCACCTAGCCTGCACATTTCTGGACACTATAGGGCAATTGAGCATGTTCAATCTACCTAAACTGTACATCTTTGGACTGTGGGAAGAAAGCGGAGCACCCGCAGGAAACCTACGCAACACAGGGAGAATGTACAAACTCCACACAGACAGTCACCTGATGGTAGAATCAAACCTAGGCCCTTGGCACTGTGAGGCAGCAGTGTAACCACTGAGCCACCATGCTGCCATATGCAGGTACAGGTACAACATCTAAAAGACATTTGGTTAGGTACATGAATAGGAAGGGTTTAGAAGGATTTCGGCCAAATGCTGGCAAATGGGGCTAGTTTAGTTTGGGAAACTTGGTCGGCATGGATGAGTTGGACCAAAGGGTCTGTTTCTACACTGTATGATTCTATTTTCATGTGATATCAATGGCTGTAAGGGTGAATGAAGGCTGCAGCAGGAGGGAGATCGCCAGTTATTGAGGTTTCCTTGCCACTGGATCTACCTTTTTGTCAAGGACCATGTGTCCACTGATGTACAACAGCATTCTCATGGTAAAAGGTGTCCTGCACAAATCGTCTACCTTGCCAATGAATTCAGTTCTGTTTTCTGGACAATGGTAACCTCAGAAATAGAATAGAATAGAATAGCAATTTATTGTCATGTGTATTTTTACGGGAAAAACAGCAAAAAGCTGTATAAGTCACCATAATGTGGTGCTTGAATTAATGTCAGAAGTCATAGGTAAGAAGAAAGTAAAAATGAAGACAGAGTTCATCTCAGATCAATTTCAGTTCGGGGAAAGTCGATTAAGACACTGGAACACCCGGAAGCTGCTGCCGAAGAAGACCTCCACACTGGGAAAAGACCACCAAACATGGAGACCGCCATACCGAGCAGAGACCACCCTCCAGGATCAGGCTGCCACAATGGGAGACCGCTGCGCCAGGCCAATGTTGATAGTGTGGGATTCACTAATGATAATACCATTAAATGGCAATGGGCAATGGCTAGATTCTCCCTTGTTGGAGATGGTCATTGCCTGGCACTTGTGTGGTGCAAATCTTACTTGCTGTCTGTCATCCGAAGCTTGGATATTGTTCAGGTCTTGCTGCATTTGGAAATAAACTGCAAATGGTGCTGAAGGTTGTGCAATCACCAATGAACATTCCCACTTCTGACACTATGATGGAGGAAAGGTTGTTGATGAAGCAACTGAAGGTGATTGGGCCTAGGACACTATCCTGAGGAACTTCTGCAATGAAGTCCTGAAGCTGAGATGACTGACCTCCAAAAACCGAAACCAACT